TTGTTGTTGTTGTTGTTGTTGTTGTTGTTGTTGTTTGAGTACCAGTTTTTCTCAACCCAAACACATTTTCCCCCCTGCAGAGCTCTTGGTCAAAACATTCTTCACCCTTGAGGTTTCTGCTTTGCCTGCTTTTCCTAATCCCATCCGTCTATGTGCTGACTGGCCTACTGCGCCTCCTTTTCTCCTGTGGGTTCCATTCTGCAACCCGTCTAGCATTTCTGCAGCAGTCGATTCGCATGACGTGACCACAGCATCTTAATTGCTGTTCTTCTATTTCCTGCAATATGTCTCTCTTCATTCCAATTTCTCTTCTAATTGCTTTGTTTCTAATTTTGTCCATTCATGATAACCTTGCCAAATTCCTTAAATAAATCATTTCTCTAGCTAATAATTTATATCTGTGTTTCCATTTTATTAACCATGTCTCAGCTCCATATGTTAATATCCGATTTATATATTAATAACTTCGTTGAGCGCAAAAACTTTCTGTTCCATAAAATTGAATGTGGCATGCTAAACCCTTGTTGTCTCACTATATTTATTCAATTTCAGGGTCAGAGGAGACATTCTGCTGAACTACTGATCCCAAATACTTAGTCTAGTTTATGGTTGGAACTGTATTCCCATTAATTTGCAACCTGAAATACTATAAATAAAAATAAAAGGAAAAACAATTTTAACACTGCAAATTTTAATGCAAGTTTTCTGGCTTTGATTTTTTCAAAATCATGAGTGATGTTGTTGAAGTTTATCAGCTCCAAGATTACATATATAGTAAACTACAAAGTCTACAAATTTATTCCTGAAATATTCAGAAATAGTTCCAGAAAGTTAAGAACAGTGTACTGACACTCACATGGTGTTGGTTCATGAAATCATGGTGCCCTGGGCAAGAGCCCCCTTTGCCCGTGAGATAAAGTAGCATGATCAGGTATGACTACAGAGTTTACAGCAACATCTGTTGAATACATATGCACTGTGTTCTTACCTGTACTCATGTCGAGCTAAGTAGCGCACATACTTCTCTGGAGGCTCATCTTTGGCTCCATTACTCAATGACACAGAGCGAACAGTTGTATGGGAGACTTGGGTGGCCGGCATTGTAAACTCTACATAACAGTAATCTGCTAAGTTCTCTGGAATCTGGTCATATGATGTCAGTCCCATCCGACACACAAATGCATGTGTGGTGTATGCTCCTGAAACATCACCATGATCATCATTAAGGCAAAAAACGGTAAAGCCATCCCTGCAATAGACCGTGGAGACCCATAGGGTTGTGAAACATCGAGGCTCTCACATTTTCTAGGCAATCAGCTCACAGATGGTAGTGAGGTTGTCAGCCTCATGTGCGGCTGCCCTTTACCTCCAGGATGATTCCTGGTACTCATTTCTGTTAGAGGCTGAGTCGGGACCATAGTGCAGCTGGAAGACTTAGGTCCAGCAGATTATTTAATAAGCGTCTCAAAGTCACAGGCTAAATTTCTACTTAGTTCACTAGAAATTTATAACGAATAAAAATTAAAGATAGTGATCACAACATCTGTCACTTCATGTCCTGGGCATACAGATATCAAGAGGAATAATGTCTTCTGGGATGTGATACTGTGTAGACTGGTAGAGGTTTATGTACCTTTCAGGGAAATTACTTCCTCCACCTTCAGAGCTGCAAAGTAAGCAATGCAAGCAACCATGAAGAAGTAATCAGCAAGTAGAGCTCTGCATGCTGCTTGTGGATCCATTCCGAAAAGAGCTACTTTTTAACAGACATACGTAAATGATCAGGATCCTTTAAGCCCTTTAGCTGTTGATGGAATTGGATGCAGATTCCAAAATGTTATGTATACATATAAAGTATATCCCTGATAACAGACAATGTCTGACACAATATTCATAAAAAGAAGGGCAGCAAGAACAAAAATTGTAGAGGTATTCACTACAGACAAATTAACTGATATAAATTTGTAAGAGCAGACTACATAACTGTTACCTTGTCCTTCTTTAGGAAGTCGGTTCATGCGCCAAACAATGGCTCTGTGTTGGTGCTCATATTTTGCCTGGCCTGATGTCACTTCAATTAGGGACTGTTCCAATGTCTCCACTGCCCCCAGGAAACGCTCGATGCCCTTCACCTTCCCAGTCCTGTCATGAACAAAGTCAAGACATGTACATGGTCATTCTCTGCCTTAACCTTCATTGCGTGGGAACATGGGGTTTTTAATTCCCCTCACTACTATATTGCTGGTGGTGAATTTTAATCAGAGATAATATTAATAACTGCAGCACTGAAAATGCAATGCTCAGGCACCTGGATTTTGTATATATGTTCTGTTTCAGTTATCCAACATATGACCAATAAAGGCTAATGCTATCATACAATGTACTGTACCTTGAGTTAAGAAAATGCATGATAACCATCAGAGGTTCTGAGTTTGATTCTAACACTTTCAATTCACTGTATGGGGGTCTTACATTATTTGAAATTTGATATCTTATAACTGGGGAAGGACAAAAATTCAAGATAATATTGAATATGCTTTTGAGTAATGCCACCATGTGGATGTGGTTTGTGTTGCAGACATTTTGGAGGAGCAAACTGCCTTCACCTTTGGATTCCTCTTTTACTCTCAAAATAAAGGCAGCAGATTCCGGACAACAGAGCTGACATCCATGAGGCACCATCACCAAAAAAATGGAATTGATGTTATCATTGAACTGCTATGAGAGACTTGAACCATCAACAAATGAGGATGAATGAGAAAAATGTGCTGAGAATATTTAGGTAAATAAAGAAGAAAGTAACACACAAATTAGCGGCCTCTGTAGTCTAGGGGTAACGTTCCCACCTCATGAATCATGGTACGTGGGTTCAAACCCGGCGGAGGTCGTGGAATTTTTAATGGCGGAAAAATTCAGGGAACAAGTCCTCCGGGAGGGACTTTAAGCCGTGGGTCCCGTGTCGTAGATTTACGGCACATAAAAGAACCTCATGCCTCTAGGAGGCCTCTGAGCTAAATTAGGCCAAAAAATTTCCCGCCCAAATAGTTTCCAATGCCTCTGATAGATGGTGAAGTATGAGGTACCACTGCCAGAGGAGAGATGACCTCGCTGACAGAAAGGGACTAATTATTAGATACCACTGCCAAGTAGAGGGTAGAAACCTTGCTGGCAGAAAGGGGCTAAAGTATTAGGTACCACTGCCAGAGGAGGGACTAACTCGCTGACAGAAAGGGACTAACTATTAGATACCACTGCCAAGTAGAGGGTAGAAACATTGTGGGCAGAAAGGGGCTGATAGCGAGCACCAGTATCAGTAGGGGATGGAGACTGTAGAAATTAAAAGGGGGATGTATAATAGACTATCAGTCGCGGTGCATGGGGAAACCCATCCCCTCAATACTGAATCACTGAACACACAAATTGAAACAACTACATATTGAGGAGCTTCATAATATATAATTGTGTCAATGGCTTTTGCTGCTGCATCTGCACACATACCGTCTATGTGTTGACTTCACAGATCCATAGCGGAAGTGCTTCTCGACACGGAACAGATATATCCAGCACTCAGGGATTGGGAACCGGACCATGATGTCCTCACAAGGGATCTGCCCCAGTTTGCGACTTGAGAACCCTGGCACAAGGATATCAGCTTTGAGCTCTACCTGTAAACATTTGTTAATATTATTTTAGCTGCATTATTTGGGATACTATCCCAGAATCTGCCTGTAGGTGACTGAGAAAACCTAAAAAAAATCTGTCATGATAGCTGGTCTGCAGATCATGATTTGAAATTATGGATTCCTCAGTACAAAGCAGAATTGCTACCCACTTGACTGCAGCATTCAACAGAAACATGCTGTTACAAGATAGAAACTTACACTGGGATATTTTGGTATAACTTGGATGGTGTCAGGTGCAGCATGACAAAATTAAAAAACACCCTTAATACACCTTGTTTTGTAGGACAGCTCTAATCCTATTAAAATAGCAGTTTATGAAAGGCCTATGTAAAAGTGCAATTCTCTCATGTCTGTATTCATCCACACTGAATCATTTAAAAGGAAGGCAATGGCTTACAGCTATGAAATATTAAACAATAAAAAGAACATTTTGCATCCATTACAGAAGTGGCATCCAAAGAACTATCCAGTCGAATACTAATCTCCCATAAGCTGAACTGAGGTATTCTGTTACTGAAATCAAGTTACAGCAGTCTTTTTTCCACTTTCTCAGAAAAATTGAACTTACTTGACACAGTGTTATACTGTAGCATCCTGCTGCACATCACTTATTTATTACTGTTAGTTAGCTGTCTCATATGCAACTTGCTTTTTACTAATACAAGTTACAGACACATGGGAGCATAAACGAGGGAATATCCCAAAAATTGAACTTATTGCTGCAAGTACAGCAGTTTCATTAACAATTTTAGAGTCGTCTGAAGATGATCCATGTTGGTTGAAACATGTAGTGTTCATACACCTGTGTAGAAGATATTTCAAGATTTAAAACTTTTAAAGGTTTTAAAGAGCAAGTTTCAAATGGGACTGCTAAGTAACAGGAGTAAATTAATTAACAACATTTTCTCAATTTTATTTTTCCCACGGTGTGTTACATAAGCGTTATGTTTTATTTATCTTTTGTCTCTGCTGGTAAGGTTGAATGATGACTGCTTATGTCATCATGATCATCATTATTTGAGATTCACAGACTGTGTCATAACATGACATATTTCCTGCCATTAATATTGTTTGTATATAGGATTTGAGGTTTTCACAGTGGTGAAAATGAAGAATGCTGTCTTCTGGGATGTGGCGCCATGTCGATGTCGGTTCACACAAGATATACTTGGCACCACATTCCAAAAGACGCCATTCTTCAATACTGTTTATAGTTCAAATGATGGCATAAAAATAATTTGCTCAAGGTGTTGTGCAGTGATCAACATGATGTCCAGGTGCTGTGCAAACTGGAACTGCATTACAGTATCCCAGTGTATTAATCAATACAGTATAACACAAGAAAAAGGTAAAGTTGGCTCTGTGTAGTTCCATGATTAATACTGTGTACATGAAAGATATATATCCAGGCAAAGCATTGCCTAGTAATAAGACAATATTTTGGGTACCCTGCCTCACCTTGTTCCCTGTGACACACATGACGGCTTTCAGTTGTATTGGAAGCTCCCGGTTTTTTGGTGGGCGGACACGGAAACGCATCAGTTCAATGTAACATGCATCGGGTGGTTTGAACCTGTAGGCAGATATGTACAACACATGAACGTGACTGAGAAGAGATAAAAGGTCAGAGAGACCTGTATGCCCAGGCATCAGTTATGTGAGTTATGGAGTTATGTGATTTGAGACTTCCCAGGTCTATAGCATGACGACCCTTTCTCTCGCCTCCGACAAAAAGTAAATTTTGTTAATGTGAGGAATATCATATTCTCAATTGTGGTTTTGGTGCCCAAATTAAGCTGTAAGCCCCCACTGCTGCCCATCATCACACCACCACAAGGGGCAGCAAAGCCGTGCTCCATCTTAAAAATTGTCCGCTGCCTCCTCCTCCTCCTCATCATCATCATCATCAATGCCAAGGTTGGCAGAGGTAAAAAAAGTCAAATATATGATAACTGCAGTCATTATTTCAGGCCACAGAAAGAGAAAGGATTGGACCACACCCTCCAAAAACATGATGCTGTAGAGAGGTGTCCCATGGTTGAGCTCCCTCAGCATCTCCTTGAGCTACACTTCCTTAGTTAGTTAGTTATTGGAGAGGATGGGTTTCCCCATGCTCTTAGACCATTATTGGTCCATTGTGCTTCCCTCTATGATATTCTACCAGTCTCTATACCCTACCGATAAATGGTGTGTACCATCAGTCCCGCCGAGCAAGCGAGTTCGGTCACTTGCTTAGCGGTGTCTATAATGCTTCCCCCATCTATCACAGGCCTTAGAGACTATTGTTGGGTGGGAAACGTCCTGGAATTTGGATCAGTGATCTCCTTAGGAGATATGAGGTTCTTTTACGTGCTGTAAAGTTACAACATGGGACACACAGCTTAAAGTCCCTCCCGGAGGACTTGTTCCCTGAATTTTTCCGCCCTTAAAAATTCGACGACCTCTGCCAGGTGTTTGAACCCGCATACCATGAGTCATGAGGTGGGAACGTTACCTCTAGACTATGGAGGCCGCTTACACTTCCTTATATTAGCCTTCGACTGTCTAGCCATTATGTTCATATAAATATTAGTAGTGAGTAGCAGGTGCTAAACCTTAGCCTGTGACAAATGTTTATGATCCTTCTGACAATTCGTGATTTATAGAGTAACAAAAGAGAGGGACACCATGGGAAGTCTGTATATGTACACCAGTTACATTGTCATAAAGTGAACTCACTTAATGACCCGTGTGCGCTCATACTCGTCTTGCTGCACACAGGCGTGAAATTCTACATTCTCTAGACGGATCCATTCCTCTGTAATGACTGGGATGATGTCATGGCGACCCACCACTTCCTTACCCTGTCGCCACATATCATTCACACCCAGTTCCACATCTGGCATGCCTGCAATATCACCAAAGGGAAATAAAGTAAATCTCTCTAACATAGCTGTATATCCCTATTGAAATTATTTTCAGTTGTTTACTGTCTACCATGCAACAATATGAAAGTTTAAAATTAATCACTGCACTGCATGGATGTGCATATCCATTAACTCTTTGACTGGCGCGAAGGGTATTTAAATCCCACCCCTGTCCTGGCAGGCCCTTTAAACCTTATGTCTCTAAAATGCATGTAGTTACTTTTTCCTAAACAACTTCAACAAAAATTGGTTTTTAAAAACGAAATTTTCAGGAACGAATTAAAATACAATATATTATGCAATAAATGCCTTTCCATACCTCTTTATTAGTTTTTCTTCGTGTGATAAACATTGAAACATGAAAGTTTGCAGAGAGCCACACCACAGCCTGCACACATGATACTTGTTTCTTTTCTAACCTTGTGCTTAGCACTCACGCGACACTTTCTCAGGGCACCATTCTTCTTATTGTTACTGGGAGGAACATGGACCATTTTGTGAATTTTCAAGCCACCCTCTAGACGATTTACTGGCTCTTTCACTGGTGGCCTTTTCAAGGTTGAGGGCGGAGGCTTGACTTCACTCTAGTCTGACGCAATAAATTCGTCATCCACTTCATTCCTTGACTTTTCTCCCTCTCCACACTGTTTGTTTAGTTCAGTCATTTTTCTACACAGTCCAATATAAAATCTTTGAATCTGTAATTTCTCTTCTTGTATTTTTCGTTTGTTGTGTTCTTTTTGAATAGAATGAAACTATTCAACCGCAAAGACATGTTTTGTCCATACCATGGGTGTGAAATAGGGGCCTAGTGGACAAATATTCTTCAATTTCAGGGCGTTTGTCGATTCCTGTCATGAACACAATTCCTAAGTATGTCCAGATTTCATCTGATGTGACATAATTGTAATTGTGTTTTC